AAGAGAGATGAGGTATAAGAAGGAGGAAGTGGTTAGTTGTGTTGAAGGCAGCAGAGAGGCCTCAGAGGTGCCCCATGGATTTGGCAACTACCGAACAGTGAACTTCGTTAGAGCAGTTTCAGTCGAGTGAGGTAAAAAGAAGTCAAGTTTTAAAGGTAGAGTGAAGTCAAAGAGTGAGGGAACGTGCCAGATGCTTCCCCTTTGTCCCTCCAGATCCCTGCTCTATCCTTTGACACTCTGCTCTCTGTCCCAGGTCAACGGCAATATCAAGAGTATACCACTGAGTGACTCCATTGAGTTTGGCCAGCAGTGAGCCCTGAGAAGACACTGGAGGGAAGAAAGAGTGAGATGGGGATATATATTCCCCCAATTCCCTCCTTCCAGAGTCCGCTGCACTCACTCAACCAAAAGTCACAATTTTCTCCAGCTGGGTTCAGGTAACCACTTTCTCCTGACTCCTCTCAGGCAGTAATAACTCTGCTTTCCTAGTCCTAGTGTTCTCTACCACCCTTTGTTTTCTCTACATCCTGCCTAGAGCTCTATAAAGAGTCCTTTATTAAACCTCCCATGAATTATTCTAAATTGAGCACACCATTTGTATCCTGCTGGAATCCTGAATTATGCAAGGAGGAACCCTGGCTGGGAAGAGTGAAGAGACAGAGATACGCAAAGACAAGGAAGGTTTTGTCATGGGGTTTATTTTGTAAGGGTTAGAAAGGTTTGGCTATATTGACAAGCTCATGAAGTTTCAACAGCCAAAGCCTATTTCAATGATGTGATCTGATAGAAAAGAAGAAATGGGCAGAGAGCTCTTATGCCTCTGGAGTTGATGACATTATCGGTGGCCTCACCCGTTTCCAAGACATTCTAGAACCTGTGTTTCCAGTTTGACCAAGACAGCCCATTTGCCAGGTTTGCCCATGGCTGTGTTGGCAAGTGTTGGTCTGAGCAATGAGCTCATGGAAAAGTAGAAACAGAGACTAAAGAAGGAGAAAGAACAAAGGTCAGGACCTTAACAAACCCAGGTACATACCTCAATGCCACCAAGGCAGTGGGACAATAAACAAAGTCATTGGTGTTTTTTTAAACTTTGCAAGGCGCTGTGTGAACCAGCCTCCTCACCTTGCCAATCTCCTCTCTTGCTCTTTTGTCGGTTGCCTGATTTGATTGTACAGCTCAACCTCACTGGCCTCCTTTCACTCTCTTAAATAATAAGCCCTGTTCTGCCATTGAGCCTGGATTCTGACTTTTCCATTGCCTGTGACCTGACACTTTCCCCAACTCTTATCCTGGCTAACTCCTTCTCATCCTCAGATTTCATCTTAAATGCCACTTCCTTAGCTGGCTGACCACTCAATCTGAACCGTCCCCTTTGTCGCTCTTCTTTTATTTGGACATCCGGAATTTTATTTGGAAATTCTAGATTCTCTCACAAACCTTTCATTTCTGTTTATTGTTACCTCTAAGTCTTTAATTCATCTGGGATTTATTTTTGGTCTATCATCTAGAGTAGGAGCCCCTTCACAGCCTGCACTTTTAAAGCACTTGGATGGACCCTCTTATAGCTCTACCTTTCACTCCCTCATCCCCTAACAATCACTTCATGGCTGATGACCCTGTACTAGGCCCTTAATTGCATACAAAGAGAATGTCCTTATTCCAGAGGATAAAAAGAGAATAATGCCAGAACTTCTGGGCATGAGGCCCAGAGAGGATCTCCGTATTCTTGGGGATGCAGACACACAAATGAAGAAATGACAGTATAGCAAGGTAAATGCTTTAATGCCACATAATGATTATCATCTTCTGGAATTCTAGCAAAGAGTGTGTTTCTAATCATTTCAGTCTCCCAGTTTGTGGCGCTGTGTCTTACCCACTGAAATAACTTAATAAATATTTTAACAATTAACTGGAGTGTAAAATCTTTCTTTTTTAAGCTTTCACTTTTGTCCAAATTTCCGAATGCATGTTCACTACTTAGATGTCTCCACCAGGATGTCCTATAGGCATTTCCAAAACAAGATGTCCTAAACAGAATTCTCTCCTCCAAAACTCCTTTACTCTTCACCTCAGTTTTCTGGGATAGAAAACTCAGAATCATTCTCAATGTCACTTTCTTTCTGACCCATCACCATGCCCTGTCTATTTAGGCCATAAATACTTTGTTTTAGGTCATAAATGACTCATTTACTTATCCCCACCATCTTAGATCAAGCCTTCACTATCAATTCCCTGAAGTGGTAAAAAAAAAAAAAAAAAAACATGCCAACAGATGTCTCTGCCCGTTTTCTCCTTTCTCTACAATCTTCTACCACAGTACTTTGCTACCACAGTCTTGTTTCTGAAACACAAATCTGGCTATGACTCTGTTACTTAAAATCCTTTTGTAGCTCCCCAGGGTTCTTGGGATAAAGCTCAAATCTTTAAACCATGATCAATGGAAACATCTCACCCTGGCTATAGACAAATGTATCCCAAACAAGTGATCAAAAACATGGAAAAAGTTATATATGCAGAGTTGTTCACTGGGTATGATATTAGCTTTTTGTGCTCTAACAAATTAGCACAAATTTAGTGCCTTAAAACAACACAGAAGAAATATGAAACGATCCCTGTTCTTTGTATCTCTAGATTTACCTTTGTGTGGATGAATAACGTTTCTCTGCTTAAGTCATACTATGTTGAGTTTTCTGTTATATGTGGTCAAATGCAACTGTAATTAATAAAAGTACTTCTATAATTAAAATAAAGAAGAAAAAGTGGTCTGATTCCAAGTTCTATTTCTCTAATTCCTCATCATCCATTCCATGAATAGGCCAAGGCCTCTGTTCTAAGCTCTTCTCATACTCTTTTCTTTTCCCTAATGCCCTCTAATTCCTAATGCCCTCTAATTTTGTACTCTACTTCCTTCTGAGTTTAGCAAACTCCTGCTCATCCTTCAAAGTCCAGCTCAAATGTTACACCCCCACAAAGTTTTTCCCAAGTTTTCCCTCAAATAGATCCATCACCATTATTTCTGTGGCACTTTGTCAAAACTTCTACTCATTTTAGACACTACATTGTATTTGTATATTTTCTTGACTGTGTCCTCTACTGAACTGTGAACAACATGTGAGCAACTGGAGGGTGAAAAGCCATGTTTTGTATGTTACCTCCAAAGCTGACATAGCACTCAGTATACAGTAGGTACACAATAAATGCCTTTCAAATGCATAAACATAAGAATTAAAAACATCTATATGTTTAAACCAAATATCATCCTCTCTTTCCTAGGTAAATGCCTATCTTCTCTCCACTTCTGTTCCTTTCCTTTGTTCTACTGGTAAAAGAATAGCTGAGTTGGAAGTTAGGGAATGGGTATTGGTACTTGGATTGTTATAATCAAGGTGGGAGTGGGAGGAATTTGATGACACATTTGATTGAAAGTAGGAAAAAAGTAGAGAAGCCTAGGAAGTAATTTAGGGCAGAAATTGGGAGTTAAAAATAAGAATCCCTCAGTCTCTCCTCTTCTAAATCATGATCTAGCATGACTAAAAGTGACTTTAGCACACCTAGCCCAAACTCAGAGTCACAGTGTTGAGAGTCTGAATCCCAGTTCCACTTACCACTGCTGAGGAGATAGGTCACTTTCATCCACCTTCCTCTGACATGGTTTCCTTCTCTGAGAAAAAGGACTAGAAATACCTGCCTGGATGACTCACAGACTTGTGAAGATCAAGAAGAATCAGACTTATGCTTAAGATTTGCTCTGACACCCAAGGCAAATGTGAACCATGTTGCTTTACTATATGTAAGAGAAATCCAATAAATGTTTGCTGAAGAATTTAATCAACAAATGAATGAGCTCATTTAGCAGATTAGCTTGTTTAAGTCAAAGACTAAAGGCAGAAACAAATTCATCTTTAGGGTTTATATGAAATATAACCAGTATATAACATCATTATCATGAAGAAGTTTCCCTTAACTATTATGTTGATGATTCTTAGACTTTCTTTATATGGGACAGAACTTTTAAAAATGTGCCAGCCCAGAGAAAGGTAACACTGCAACTTCAATCACACTAAGAAATCTATGACTATTTTCCTTTTTTCAAAGTGTGTTTTAATAGGGCTATGTGGGAATGTGGAGCTGGGTGGCTCAGTTGGATAAGCTTCAGACTCTTGGTTTCTGCTCCGGTCCTGATCTCAGAGTAGTGCGATCTGGCTCCTGCTCAACCAGGAGTCTGGTGGAGGTTCTTTCCCTCTGCCCCACCCCATACACACACACATGCAACAGAGAACTCTCTCTTTCTCAAATAAATAAATAAATAAATAAATAAATAAATAAAATCTTCAAAAAAATAGAGGCTAAGGGGAAAATGAGTATGTTTTGCTTTAAATTTTAAACAGTAATGTAAGATACTGTGTTATCTGCCCCGTTAAAAGGGAACATAATTGTGTGATCTACAAGACAGCCACCTACACTCTGGTAGGCTATAAAAGGAATCCTTTTATATATCCTTCATCTTCTTACCCTTGATATTTTGGAACTCTTGCTTAACTTTTTTTTCTGCTTAACAAGTAGCTATAATATTGATTTGAAGTTAAAAAGGACCACAACAGGGACACCTGGGTGGCTCAGTTAGTTGGGTGGCCAATTCTTGATCTTGGTTCCAGTCTTAAACATGAGTTTGGGCCAGTATTTAAGTGGGCTCCACACCCAGCATGAAGCCTACTTAAAAAAAAAAAGTAGGGCAGCCCAGATGGCTTGGCGGTTTAGCGCTGCCTTTGGCCCAGGGCCTGATCCTTGAGACCCAGGATCGAGTCCCACGTCGGGCTCCCTGCGTGGAGCCTGCTTCTCCCTCTGCCTGTGTCTCTGCCTCTCTCTCTCTGTGTCTCACATGAATAAATAAATAAAATCTTTTTTTTTAAAAAAGTAAACATAACAGAACCCAATTTTATATATATGTTTATTTATGTATTTATTTATATATGAATTACATATATACATTTGCATGTATGTGTGTATGTGTGTAAATCTTACCTGGAAAAGTAGAGTAGATCACAGGGAATTTTATTGATTTATCTCCACACAACAAATGCCCACTAATCTGCTCTTGCGATGATCAAAACAGTCATCACGAACACCATAATGAAGAAAACCCACATGAAGAATCGGTCTATGACTTTTGCAACCTTCTTCCACTCACTTCCCTTGGAATTAGTGGCCTTGTGGTCTTTGAGGCACTTGGCAATATACTCAATATTCCTTGTCAGCACCTTGTACTGTGCACAATAACTGTCAGCATCCTGTGGGTTCTCACCATGGCACCCCAAGTCATTCTTTAACAGTTTATTTATTTCCTTCTTTCTGGGAAGGTCTTTGTTTCTGTCTGTTTTCAGATTTGGCTCTGGAAGTTTGCCATAAACCTTTGTGAGGAGAGTTCGCTCCCTGTCATGGCGGGGGCTAAGGCAGCTCTCACCCACATCATAGACACACAAAACCCTGGACATGTATTTTAAGATGACTACCCTGGCCCAGTGTGGCACTGGCCGGGCCTCAGCCCCACAGAAGTGGATATTCATCACCATAATGGTCAAGGCGGTGGAGGCTGTGATCAAGGCCATTGTGGCTATGTAGTATTTGCCTGGAAAATAACCAAAACCAAGTTAGCTTAAAATTGTCTTCATATTTGGCTCAAAAATATACAAACACCTTTTCTAGAGAAGCTGTATACAATAATGGTTACTGGTATAAATTTCTAAATCAGACTTCCTAGATTCAAATCCTGTCACTCATTAGACTTGTGGCTTGGAGCAAGTTTTAACATCCTGCTAAGCTACAGCTTCCTTCTCTGTAAAATAGGTATGATAACTAGATCTAATTCGTGGGACTAGGATGAAGCTTAATTGAGACAGTCCATGTAAAGTTCTCCTCACTGTCCTTTACATTGAGTTAAAGGTTTCTAAATGTTTGCTGAGATCATGATGTGAAAAAATTCCACTTTCAACAAATAATGATCTCAGGCAGCTCTCAGAATTGTCTTCAGACCTCATTACTATTGGATAAGGAAGTAGACACTGTGTCACTATTAGCCTTTAACATTTGATTACATAAACCAAATATTCATGAAAAATGAAAATTAAGAAAAGAAATAATAAAGGTAAAGGCACAAACCTATAAAAACAAAAAAACAAAAAGATGAACAAAAGCTATTTGAAAAAAGAATAAGATTAATAAACCTTTGATAAAGTCACTCACAAAATGGAGGTAAGTAGGTTGACAAAACCAAAAGACAACCTACTGAATGAGAGAAGATATTTGCAAATGTCTTACCAGATAAAGAGCTAGTATCCAAGATCTGTAAAGAACCTAATCAAACTCAGCACTCAAAATAATAATAATAATAACAATCTAGTTAAGAAATGGGCAGAAGACATGAACAGACATTTCTCCAAAGAAGACATACAAATGGCCAACAGACATATGAAAAAAATGCCCCATGTCACTCAGCATCAGGGAAATACAAATCAAAACCACAATGAAATACCACTTCACACCAGTCAAAATAGCTAAAATTACCAAGTCAGGAAATAACAAGTGTTGGCAAGGATACAGAGAAAAGGGAACCCTCTTACATTGTTGGTGGGAATACAAGCTGGTACAGCCACTCTGGAAAACAGTATGGAGGTTCATCAACAAGTTAAAAATAGAGCTACCCTATGACCCAACAATTGCACTACTAGCTATTTACCCAAAGGATACAAACAAAATGATACAAAGGGGCACATGCACCCAAATGTTTTTAGCAGCAATGTCCACAACAGCCAAAATATGGAAAGAGCCCAGATGTCCATCAACAGATGAATTGATAAAGAAGATGTGGTGTATATATACTATGCAATATTAACCATCAAAAAGGATGAAATCTCACCACTTACATCAACATGGATGGAACTAGAGGGTACTTTGCTAAGTGAAATTAGTCAGTCAGAGAATGACAATTATCATATGGTTTCACTCATATGTGGAATTTAAGAAACAAAGCAGAGGATCATAGAGGTAGGCAGGGAAAAATAAAATAAGATGAAATCAGAGATAAACCATACAGACTCTTAACTATAGGAAACTAACTGGGGGTTGTGAGAGAGGAGGGAAGTGGGGGAATGGGGTAACTGGGTGACGGCATTAAGGAGGGGCGCATGATATAATGAACACTGGGTGTTATACGAAACAGATGAATAACAGAACTCTATATTAGAAACTAATGACACACTATATTTAATGAATTTAATTTAAGTAAATTAAGTTTAAAAAGAAAAAAATAGAGGCAAGGTGAGGGGGAGAAGAAGGGAGACTGTAAAAGAAGAAATAACAGAATAGAAATTAAAATACAATAAAATAATATTATAAATAGCTGTACGATAATATATTTGAGAACCTAGAATAAATTTCTAGAAATACAGACAACACCAAATTTAGTGTAAGAAGAAAGAACATTGGAATAGAAAAGCCCCAGAGTTAGTTTTATAGGAGAGTTTTACCAAACTTTTAAAAGACAGATAATTCATATCATGCAAGTTAAGTTGTTGTAGAAATATAAAAAGAGAGAAACCTATCTAGCTTATTTTATAAAGTCAGTTTAGCCTTGATTCCAAAAGTAACAAGAAAGGAAGTATTAGGGCCATTTTACTTATGGATGTATTTGAGAAAGTCTTATAAAGATTACTAACTAACTAAATCCAACAGTGTCTTAAAATAATTCATCATGATAAAGGAGGGTTTAACTCAACATCAGAAAACCTAATTCACTATATTAATGAGGTAAAAGAGAAAACTTAGATGATGATCTTAACAGATGAAAACAATGCATTTGATAGTTTGTCCATCCACATAGTATTTGTTAAAAGCTCAAAATAAACCAAGAATCAATGAGACCTGTCTTAATATGATGAAGACAATGGGCCAGAAGCTTAGATCAAATGCTATACTTACTCAGAAAACTTAAAAAACACATTTCTATAAGATTGGAGGTGCTGCAAATAACAAATTGTGATTATCAACATACGCTCCTGTGTACATTGTTTCTGAAAAGACACATTTTGTATTATCATAGGAGCAGAACAAGTAATGTTTGCAAAATTCCTGAGACACGTCCCAGGACATCTCTCTTTATAACTTCAGCCAGCTTGCTTTTGAATGTCACTGCTAAAGAAGAGAGAGAGATTTGCCAATTGTCTTGCCTCAAGTAGGATTATGATTACAGGTCATCACTGTCAATCATTTCTGTCTCAATAGAGGTAATAAAAATGCCAAGATACCTCTTTCTCTTTATTAGTGGTGTGGGGAGAGGGGTGGAGAGAACTTTCTGTGTTCGCTTCTCAAAAAGATGTGTGTCTGTGTGTATTTGTGTCCATGTGTTGGTGTGTCTGTTTTTTGCTTGGAGACACATAACAAGGAAGAAATATCCAAACAGGGAAACCAACGTAGTAATGTCTGAATATCAAGTAATACTGGATTCAGTAGAGGATAAAAGGGCAATACAGTATCCCTTTCATATTGGTCTTTAAATCTCTGTGTGTTCTGAAGTTCCTCGTCATGTTTACTTTGCAAAACAAAAAATTAGGTCTAGCTTCTGATTCTGGTAAGCATTTATTATAAGAGCAAGTCATTGAAACAGAGGTGTTGGAGCTGAGGTCCTTGGTGGCAGCTTGCAGGTATGAAAGGTGTGAGAAGGGGTCTCAGATAAGGTAGGGAGGGGCACCTGTGTGGCTCAGTCTGTTAGGTATCTGCCTTGAGATCAAGTCATGATCCCAGAGTCCTGGGATCAAGTCCTACATTGGGCTCCCTGTTCAGCCAGGAGTCTATTTCTCCCTCTCCCTCTGCCTCTCCATCTACTTGTGCTCTCTTTCTCTCTATCAAATAAATAAATTAAATCTTTAAAAAATAAGGTAAGGAAAGGAAGGGAAGGGGAGGCAGGTGTCATAGTCTTTGTGGGAGGCAGGTGTCATAGTCTCTGTCTCTTTGCCATCCTTAGAAGGACATTTTATTAGTGCAGACTTTTGAAAATATGGTCTATCCTAGAATTGGCTGAGATTCCCAATTCTTGCCCAAGATTGCTAAATCAAACTCTTTGGGTGTAGGAACCTGCATTTTACCAAGCTCTCCTAACTTCTTCCACACCCAATAAAGGTTAAAGATTATTCTATTAAGGGTAGATGATGGGCGGAAAAAATCTAGTCAACCATTTCTATCATGTTTACCACTCTTCCCTGAGAAGAGATCCCGTGCTGTGAAAAGATAATAACAGTCACTACTTATGGCATACTTACCATATGCCACCTTCTACGCTAAGCAATGACATAATGAATAGCAATTACACATGCTTTCCAGGTGACAAAGCAGAACTAAAAGACTAAGTAACTTGCCTAAGATTGATCATTAAGAAATGAGAGGTGAAATCAGAGTTCAAATGCAGATTTCTTTAACTTCAAAATCAGGGCCTTAACTTCTAAACCAGCGAAACAGAACGTGCATCAAAATCAGCCAGAGGTCTTGTTAAAACAGATTGCCAGGCCTCGCCCCAGAGTTTCTAATTCTGTAGGTCTGGGGTGGGCCCTGAGAGTCTGCATTTCGAAAATGATGCTGCACCTCGTGTCCGGGAACCACACTTTGAGAACCACTGCTCTGAACTATATTGCCCCTCCTTCCTCTTTTGTGTAAACCCAGAGACCATAAGACCAGTTTTGGAAAACAGCCATATCTGTATTCAAAGATGCCAGCTGAAGACACTAATTGAAGTATGACTGAGTCTGGAGTTGACCTAATGGTTTAACTGAGTTTAAAGGACCAGATACAATCCCACTCACTACAATGCAAGACTCAAAGTATAAGACACTTGAACTCACCTATCAGGGGGACATTTTCTGAGGCTGGCATGATCTCTGCCACCATGAGCTGAAATACAGTCATGGCCAACAGGATGGTCACTCCCAAGGAGACCTTTTCTCCAGAGGCTGCTGGGAGATAAAAACTCAAGGGAGCCAGAAAAGATATGAGGACACATGGGATGAGGAGGTTGACGATATAGAACGAGGACCTCCTCTTCAGAAGGAGAGTGAATGTCACATCTGGGTAAGGTTCAGAGCAGCAGCCATAGGAGATCACATTCTTCACAGCAGGCATGCCATGGACCTCCCACTCCACATCTTCGATGAAGTCGGAGAGATCACCACTGTCTAGGGCATTGAATATGTCCACCTGGTTGCCATTATAGGTCCAGGAGCCAAAGGTTAAGTTGCACTGCTGGTTATCAAAAGGGAAATAGGTGACATCCACTACACAGGAGCTTTTGGTGATGGCTGGTGCATCCCAGGTGATCAGCCCATCATACCGCAGGACCACATTGGTGTTCACAGGTTCGGAAGATTCATCATCAGCCCTGGAGGTCAGAGGGGGTAAATGAAAGCTGCTTGTCAAGACAATTCATCAACTTCCTTACTCCAGACAGCTCACTGACCTGTGCCCATCCTTTCAGTGTCTCTGGCAATGGATGCCCACTCTCCCTGCCACCCTGGCTAAAAGTTGGAATCAACTCCAATTTTCCCCTCTCCTCCATCTCCTGTAACTACTCAAGGCCATCTTTTCTTGGATTCTTCCCTTAAAGCACCTCTGCTCTATGTCCCTTTCTCTTCATTTCCAAGCCACTCTCTTAGTCCTGGTATAATGATTCAAACATCTAGATAAAAAATAAACACATCAATGCTAAAATCTAACTGGGAGGCTCTGCTTACCTGATTTTGTTAACTTTGGGCTCAAGAATATTAAAATAGCCTTTTGATGCTGTTGGAATTGTACATGTTCATTTGAAAAATGCAGGAAAAATTCATTTACCCAGAGGCACCTGGGTGGCTCAGTCAGTTAAGCATCTGACTCTTGGTTTTGGCTCAGGTCATGATCTTGTGGTCATGGGGCCCAGCTCTGCACCGGGCTTCATGCTCAGTGTAGAGTCTGCTTCAGATTCTCTCTCCTTCTCCCTCCCACCCATTTTTTTTCTCTCTCTCTCTCAAATAAATAAATAAAATCTTTTTCATTGACCCATAATCTAAGAGATTATAATTTATTCTAGATATTTCTTCTTTTTGCTTAATCAACATTTATGCCTGGATATAGAATTTTTATTTTCCTTTAGAAAATGACTTTCTCCACCACCATTGCAAGGCAGATGAAATATTGATCAAGGTGTTTCAGCCTCCCCTGGCCAGGATTAGCATGTGACCTGAGCTACATCCAACGGATTCACTCTTCCTGGAGTTTAGATCTCAAACAGAGTGATCCAAAGAGCAAAAACAGTCACCCTGGTGATGCCTCCTTATAAAACAAGCAAACAAACAAACAAATCAGCTCAATAATCCCTGCTGTCTCAAACTCTAAAGCAGTCCCAGTCTGTCCTTTCTAGGAACTGGGTATTGATTTTTTTTTCCCCTCTAATTCAGTGAGCTATACCATACCCTAACAACAAATTTCTTTTTTCAGAAGGTCGCTAACGTCAGTTTCTAATTCTTACAATCTTAACTAATAAGTTTTTATTAATATTTAATGCATATTTTCCAATCTTCCTTATAATTTTTTCCCCTACAAAATGTATTAGGTCTAGATATAATGTGTAAGGTATCCTGGATTGGATTCTGCAACAGAAAAAGTACATTAGTGATGAAATCCAAATAAAGCCTATAGTTTAATTAATAATATTGTATTAGTTTTGACAAATGTGCTGTGTTATTTTGATGTAACATTAATAGTAACATTGGAGGAAACCAGGTGAAGGATATATGGGAACTCTTCGTACCATCTTTGCAACTTTTCTGGAAATCTAAAATTACCCTGAAATTAAAAAGTTAATTTTCCCCAAAAAAGGATGATACAAAATTTAAAATGTAGTTATTAATTCACATTCTCCTGCAACATCATTTTCATGGCTAATAGTTTTCCTTTGTATTATAAAGAGATGCCATATTTATCCAACCAATCTATTGATGTTCAGCATTGTCATTTCCAGGTTTTGCATTTACAAACAATGCTATGGTGAACATCCCTGTAGTTGAATCTTTGCATTTATCCTCTCTTTCCTTACATTAGACTGCCAGAAGATGTGCTAGATCAATAATTTTTAAATTACTTTTTCCACTTATTAAAAATTGGATGCCACATTAATTGTAATGGTCTGATTGAAGTGAACCAAATCAGACTACTACAGTTAACGCTCAATTTTTAACGAGGGTCTTTTAATGAGGGTTTAAATAGAAGGATCTTTAATATGGTTCTTTGTGAAGATAGCAAGATGAAATTTTTCGAAAATTCCTGAACCCATCCTCTGTAACAATGAGAAATGTATATTTAGCTGTATGAGTAGTGAGCACTCTGGTGAACTGAGAATATCACTCACTCATCCTACCTTCCCTGGTGTAAGAGGAAAGATCTCAGCATCAGAGAAAATCTATTTGGACACTTCCAAATCAAAAATTAGCACCCCCTCTTCCTTTCCAAGGCTTACTTCCCTACTGGTACTGTGATTCCTTTCCTCTCATGTTTGCTTCAGGATTTTGCATCTCTTGGTTCCTCTTTTTCTCTCTGGTTCATCTAGACCATTCCCAATGCTGTTCCTCAGTCTCCTCTGCCAACTTCCCTTCCTCTCAGGCACTTCCCACATCCCGCCTCTCTTTCCACACACTGGAAGTGATACACGCTGCTGTCACTTCCCCTTTTTGCTTTTATTCTTGTAATTTGGCTTCTTCCCAACATGTGATCTTTCAAAAGTCATTCATGACTTGCAGACACACAAATCTAAAAACGTGTCCTAAGGGTCCATCCTGTTCAACTCTTCCCAAGCATTTCATACTGTAGGTTGCTTCTAAACATCCTTTCTTCCTGTGCTTTCTATGACACAACTGTCTCTCACTTCTCCTTCTACCCCTTTAACCATTTATTTTAAGTGCCTTCTGTAAATGTCTGCAGTGAAGAGTTTCACCAATTTTATCTGAAGCCATTTTCTCTCCTTCCTTGAGTAGTTCTATTAGGCCTTTTAGGGTTTTTGATAGCTCTTCCCTGATGCTCTTACCAGACTTGAGGATTGCCTTTTCAGTCCCTTCATTGGTTGTCTCCATGTGGGTGTTCCTTTGGTCCCCGAAACTGAGTAGGTCCTACACCAAACTCATCATCATTTTCCTCATACCTATTCCTCTTCCCCTCCTCTACTTCAAATCTCATCTGACAGGTTTGCCATTTTCTCAACCACTAGAAGACTTAAGTGAACCCTAATGCTAAATTCTAGACAAATCTTTCTGAATATAATAGGGTACCGAATTCTTCAGTAGCTCTAAAATCCAGGTGTTAAGGTGGCACACAAAAACCCAATCCGTAGAACTCTCTGATAATAAATCCATAATCGGAATTTCTGTAGCCCAGTTTCTACCCAATCTAATGTCAGGAATCCTTGCAGCCTCTTGCACTAGCCATTATATTGGCCATATACTTAAACAACCTCAGCAGAATGTTGAGCCCAAATTTATTTATCCCTTTACTGATTTGGTAACAGAGCCAGTATCTGCTTGAACAACTATATTGCTAAAGAGCTCACCACCTCTTGGGAATATTGATCGCTCAAGTTATTTGTTACGATTTTTTTTTAAATTGTTTATCTTCCCCTTAACTTTTCATTGTCTTGGTTTTTGTCCTCTAGAGCAATTTTCTCTTTTCTCTACCTTATTTTCTCCTTGATTGCCTACCATCACCATCAAGTCTTCCCAAGGACTTCTCACTTCCAAACTAAGTTTCAACATATTCAATTGCTCCTCACATGAAGTGAGTAGCTTCCAGATCCATCATCATCCTGATCACACCCTAACAAGTCCAGCCCAGCCCCATGTATTCAGTCACCAGTGGTGAATCTAGAGGTGAGTCATCTTCCTGCCCAAACTATCTTTATCACATCTTACTGGATCACTACCACATGTCCTTCTTTCCTCTCCCCACCACCATTCAGAAAGCCCATTTTGTGGTCTACAAGGCTCTAGGCAAGCTTCTGAGAAATAATGAGGATATTATATGTGGGATTGGAAGAGTCTGCAGGTCCAGGGGTTCAGCTGGAAGGACCAGGGTCAGGGAAATGGCTATGACCGAGGTCCCTTCTTTGCCTGATCTTATAGCCCTCTTCTAGTCTCCTTTTAGCTGGTTTTAGGAAGGCAAATGACATCCAACCATAGTCACATTTAGAATTTCCTCTAAGTAATAAAACTATGGCATTACTGAGAAGGAGAATACAAAGCAGAATAAGGGATCTGAAACAGAACAATCTGAGACAGGAGGGAACAGAAGACTGAAGAGTCAAGCCAGGGAAACAGAAAAGAGTTGATTAATCAGTGTCATGAAAAGGACAGGGAACAGAACTCTCACACCTCAAGGCCAGTGATCTGGGAGGAATGGAGGGACAATGGGGACAGAATTTACCGAAGCCTATGTGAGCTCATGAACACACTACTGGCTTCTGGAATGAGGGGGTACTGGAGTAGGCTTAACTTAGGTGACCATACAAGCTTGCAAAGGAGCATGTTAGTAAGAGTTGGTCACTGCTTCAACCAACCAAAGCAGGAGGAGGAGAAGAACCAGCATTCTGTTTGTTTCCCAGAGAGAAATGTTACAACGGATAGAACACTGTTATCTATGTCAACTATATTCTCTGATTACTTGCATCCTGTGAATGAGAGGAGCTCATGGACAACAAGGCTTGTTCTCATGCCTTCTGCATGTATATGTGTGTGTGTGTGTGTGTGTGTGTGTGTGTGTGTATGAGAGAGATAGAGAGAAGAAGGGTGAACTGGAATAGTAAAGCACTAGCACTGAAATGCTGTCTTGCATGGAAAGGAATATGGAAGGTCCCTCTGGCTACTCAGAGTTGAGAATAGTCAGCAGGATCAGTGCTATGATTCAATAGGTCATGACCCTTGGATGAGCTCTCTGAATAAGGGACAAGACTAAAATCCAGGGTACAACCTGACAGTATTTCTTCCTGAAAAGAAACCCATGCCCACAGGAAGGTTCAGTTCTCAGGAAAGCCCTCTTGAACTGCCCTTCATTAACCATGTTCTAAGTCAAAGATGAACCATTCCCACCCAACAGGACTGAACGTGAATTGTGATAGAGCAACTGAAAGTGAATTGTGATAGAGCAATGTGGTTCCTCCATGAACCAGCAGCACTGACATCAGAGCTTATAGAAATGCAGAATGTCAGACTCCACCCCAGGCCTACTGAATCAGAATCTGTATTTTAACAAACTCTTCAGGTGATTCATGTGCACTTTACAGTTTGAGAAACATAAACCTTTTACCCATTTACTCTAGGCCCCTTGCTCTGAAACCAGGAAAGGGCAACTGCTAATCTTATGATCTAGTTCATCCATCCTCCCCTCCAATGTCCAAACTCCACAGGCCAGCCACTAGCTGGCCCATTCTGATTGAATCTAAGTATTATCATTGTTATTGATACATGATCTAGGAGAAGGGAGCATCACTGTTATTAATTGAATTGTGTCTCCCAGCCCCCAAATTTATATGTCGAAATCCTAGCCCCCAGTACCTCAGAATGTAATCTTATTTGGAATAGGATCATTGCAGATGTAATTAATTAAGACAAGGTCATACTGAAGTAGACTGGGCCTCTAATTCAGTGTGACTTTTGTTTTTATAAAAGGGAAAAAAATGGACACAGACAACACACAGGAAGAATGCCATGTGAAAAGGAAAACAGAGATCAAGGTGATGCTTCTACAAGTCCAAGGACAACAAAGACTGCCAGCAACCACTAGGAGCTAGAAGAGAGGGATGGAACACGTTCTCCCTCACAGCCTCGGAAGGAACCAACTTTGCGCTTCTAGCTTCCAGAACTGGGAGAGAATACATTTTTGCTGTTTGAGCCACCCAATTTGTGTGAAGCCCTAGGAAACTAGTACAGCTTATAATATAGTTTCTCATCCAAAAGGGAAATGTAGCTCTAAGCTTTTATGACCTATTATTTTATTATCTAAGATTTTATGATCATCATTTCAGGGCCTAGGTACATGAATTGGTACTTAATTTCAGGTATGTTTTAAACATTCTTTTTTCGTTATGTTTAAATTCTGTTAAATCATTTAGTTCATTCTTGAGAAACGACTGACTTGTACTTACTTGTTATATAGGACAATATCCGGCCTCCATACCAGGTCACTGGGGATCCTGATGGAGTCCAGTCCATCATACTGGTCTCGATCCCACGTGAGATATGCGTCATGCCAAATTTGGCGGATCCATAAATAGGCAGTCAGAATCTGGTTTCTTTCATCCTGTACAAGTAACCATGATATAACTCTGTCCAGGAGACACCTCAATCAAATGCCTTCCATCTCTAGAACACTTGTTCTTCACAACAGAAATTCCAAGAACACAAATCTACTTTCATTAAATAAATGAGAACTTTTCTAATCTATCATTTTGACTGACTGCCAAGGCCATATTTTTTTCCTGCTTGATTTAGTGTTCTGAATGTAAAGTGGACAGATGTTTAAGCCATCAGATCTTTGCATGGATCAACAGCCCAAATTTCTCTGAAAATTGATCAACTGATGATCCACTTTAATGAGAAGGTCAGGAAATATCTACAACATACAGAAGAAAGTCTTTCAAGTTTCATAACTTTGTGCAATTAAACCCACATAAGCACTGAAAAAGATATGCCATCTTAAAAACACCACCTTTCTTTTTTGAAAAATAGGAATAAAATTCATGTAACAAAACTCACCATTTAGCCATTTTAACGTACACAATTCAGTGGCTTACAGTATATTCATGATATTGTGCAACCATCACCACTATCCAATTCCAGAACATTTTTGTCAGCCCCAAAAAAGGAACCCTATGACAATCAAGCTGTCACTCACTGTTCCCCTGTTCTTCCCACGGCCTCTGGCAACCACAACTCTGCTTTCAAGTCTCTATGGTTCTGCCTGTTTTGGACATTTCATAGAAAGGGAACCATATGATATGTGATACATCTCTTTTTAGATGATCAAGACTGTTACTGCTAATAGCCAGGATTAGGTAACATTTAGTGAAATTATTTTCGCTGAGAGCTTCCTTCCTTGGTATTCTCTTCCCCCACCAGCCCGCTCAGTTCTCATTCCCTCTCAAATTCCAGGTAAGACATCTCTTTGTAAAGCACGGTTAGTTTCATCCTAAGCACCATTTCAAAGAGTCACCACTTAATATTACTCACCATGTCCTTAATCTGAGAAAGTGTAATCTGCAGGGTGACATTCAGAACTTTATCTGTATCTTCTACTGGACGAAGAGCATTGGAATAATCTTCAAAAAGGTCATTAAACAACTTCTGAGCATATTTTCCATCTGCTGTTTCTACAGCTGCTCAAAAAGAGGGACCTGGATCAACATTCAGTGTCATGCATATTTCAAGGTAAAGAACAACAAACTGAGGACTAGAACTGGGCATGACCTGGCATCAGCTAGGGACAAGCTTTGGGTTTATGAGAGTCATTTTTCCAGCCAGTCAATAAGAGGCAAGAACACTTCCTTGCAGTTAGAACATTTGTTCTGTTTGCTGGCCCACTCCAACCAAAGAAGGGACCCCAGGTGAACTGAGATGATTACACGCCCATCAGCCTCTTACCTCTCAGCCCAGAGACAGCAAAGTAAATCCAGCAAAAGGAGATGCAGGAATGGGGCCAGTTCATCTTTTTCCTGAGCCTCCAGAAATTCTCAGCCAGGCAGCAGCCTTTCAGTTCCCTCTGTGAATGGGAAGGGTCTGGGTACAAAGATCCCACTCTGCCACAGTCTCACCAAAACAGATGGAGAGCTCAGGCTTACTGTGCATACAGGGCCCGAAGTCTTGAGATCCAGACTCGCCCTCCCTCCCCTCTGGTAATCCGAGACCCGCAGCTCTGTCAGCAGACCTGCGGGAGCCTGGGTGGGCTAAGTCAGGCAGTGCTGATCTGGGGAAGCTGTCCCAGCTGAGGGTCCCTAGCCACTTTCAGCAGGATCATCCAGACCAAAGTTTCAGAGGAAAGGAGGTAGGAGCCCAACACCCACTGAGACATTGCCGAAGCAGGATATGAGCTTTCTACACCTGCAGCAAACAGACCTAGCCTGAGTCTAAGGACTAAGGGAAGCCAAACAGACCCTGCCACGGGGCATCCTCTGGAAAGGCTCTATGAATGCGCTTCAAGTGGCATTTGAAGAGGGAAAAAGAAGCAATTCCATGATCTCCAGAACAGAGTACCTTCTGCTTCAATTCCTTCAAGATGGGGCACAGAGCTCGTGTGGGAATGTGTGTGAGTGTGGGGGGAGGACATGGGAGAAGGGCATTCACTGCCTTCGGAAGCAGCAGCACTGTGACCAGGATTCGGAGTCCAAGACCTGGGTTTGACTGCAAGCCTGAACCCTTCTCAGCCCTATAGTACTGAGCCTTCCTGAGCTAGAGACCAGGAACATAGTATTCTCTCTCCCCCACAGCTACTGGGACATTTCATGCAAAGGTACCATGTAAGTGTTAGTAATTTTTGCCTCTAATTTTGCAGATTCGGAATGTGTATAATCACCAAATTACCCAGAGTTCACTAGCTCTAAAAAAAAAAAAAAAAAAAAAAAAAGGTTCAAAGGCTAACCAAAATCAGCATGGAAATGATTCATAACTAATGGTGATATTACTAAGGATGCTGTTTCTTTGCATTTGAATGCCACTTTATTTAATTTCACAGTCATTTCTCACATGTGATCTAATTTTGCTCTCACAAAAGAATGTCAATTTCCAATTGCCATAACTTATCCCTCTTTTTGCCTGGGGAAACTGCCTTGGAAAACCAAATTAAGATCATTTGGTTGCCTGGAATCAGAGCAAGGAAATTGGATAGTTCTATTTCATCAGGTTACAGCCGTCTGATGAGTCACCCTGTCCCTCTTCAGGAATCTATCCTGCGAATGGAACAGACACTCAAGCCGTCATCTAAGTGTGTTTCCTCATTGCCTCTGCCGGGTGTGGATTGTGAAGACATTATTTTCCTGATGCCCCCAGTCTGACTCACCTGTCATATGACACGGTTCTTGCTGAAAACCCTCAGGCCTCCTTCAACAAACCATCTGCTCTGGCGTTTCAGAGGCTGAAGGCTCTTCTGAAATTGAGTTGAACACCTCATTTTCACATGAGGAAACTGAGGTCTAGAGTTGTGAGTGGCTTGCCTCTAGCAGTGCCTGGCCAGAGACAGAATCCAGGCCACCTGTCCCAACCCAATGTTCTCACCACGCTAACACCGCCTCTCTTCCTTGTTGTCATTCATCCACGTGGCACTTGATGCTGCTGGGTGATGACTTCTCATGGTTAGAGACTCTACCTATGTTTCTTCAATTCCTCATGACACTCAGAGCAGTCCCTGGTGGCAGGTGCATGACTACCTAGTCTGAATACTTGGTGCTGGCTACTTCGGCTGCTGCTTGGAAAGTGACCATCCCTGGTGATCTTTGATTGCTTTTGACTAACTCAGCTCGTTCATTGGGGTCACTTGAAACTTTTTAAAAATAGCTAACCATTGATGCTAACCTTCCCATGTTAATGCAATCAAGTTAAATCAGTACTTTCAGGGGGGCAAGTCTACCTCTTAGGGCAAAGACGCTTATGACTAAAAGCAAACTCCACCCAAATTAATTTCAAAAGAACAACGCATGAACGAAGTGAGAATTTCAACAGAGGAAGAAAATATGTTTAAAAACTTATTCTAGAAACAACTACTAGGTGTTTTCCCAGGGACCTGCTTATCTTTACCCAACCACTCAGCTCCAAACTATGTGAAGAATGGACCTGTAATATAGTGGTAATAATTTACAAGACATTAAGTGGAAGAAGAAATCTGTTGAATTCACTATTTAGGATTAAGGCTAAATAAGGCTGAGAAGCAGGCAGGTATGCTTTAGGGTGATTTTCTAAAATGGGGCTCAGACAATGAAAATAATCTAAATAAAATATCCAACCAGAAATGTGGACCCTCTGAAAACACCTTTTTCTTTCTTTCTTTCTTTCTTTCTTTCTTTCTTTCTTTCTTTCTTTCTTTCTTTCTTTCTTTCTTCTTCTTTCTTTTTCTTTCTTTCTTCTTTCTTTCTTTCTTTCTTTCTTTCAAATATTTTGTTTGGGGGATCCCTGGGTGGCTCAGCAGTTTAGTGCCTGCCTTCGGCCCAGTGTGTGATCCTGGAGACCTGGGATCGAGTCCTGCATCAGGCTCCCTGCATGGAGCCTGCTTCTCCCTCTGCCTATGTCTCTGCCTCTCTCTGTGTGTCTCTCATGAATAAATAAATAAAATCTTAAAAAAAAAAAAAGATTTTGTTTGTTTGAGTGAGAGAGGGAGCACACACTGGCAGAGGGGCAGAGGGAGAGGGAGAAGCAGGCTCCCTACTGAGCAGGAAGCCTGACTTGGGGCTGTATCCCACGCCCTTGGGATCATGACTAGAGCTGAAGACAGACGTTTAACTGACTGAGTCACCTAGGTGCCCCATGAATACACCATTTTTTGAGTGCCTCATTAACTTAGGACCAGACATATCCATTGGCATATTAATTCAGGTTAACAGAGCACTCAAATATTGAACTTTGGAAGTTCATGATTTTCATGCCAACAGCTACCTTTCCCCAGCTCATGGGTACTAATTCTGAATAGTATCTCACATAGTCTGTGCAAAACCACCACCCAGTGGAGTATACTCTGGTCAGAAAAAGGGGACCCATCATTCAAAGAATTTCTGAAGAGCACAATAATCTTTTCAAAAATCTGCGCCTTTTGAGAAGTGGCAGTCACTTGTCACAAGTTCACAAAGTATTCCAGCCATTTCAGCGTTTCAAGGAGCCAAATCCTCCCTGACAGACCAACTTTGAGGCACTAATTTATAGCCCAAATATGATAGTAAGATATTATAGACATTCCATAAAATCATATTTTTAACATAACTTATTACATAAGTGATACATATTTGTTGCAGAAAAATTAGGAAGCATAGAAATACGCAATGAAGGAAAAGAAAAATCACCCAGAAGCATCCAACCAGGCAGAAATAGATAGGGTTCACAAGGCAGCCATCTTTTTTAAGTGCCCATGGAACATGTTGTCATGTCTTTGAGACCTGGAAGGACATGGGCCATTAGCAGAACTCTGTCTTGCTCATGAACACACAAGTGCAGAGGATGCTTCTAAATACTCTTTTCGTGTTCTGATGCAGTTGCAATGTAGTTCACACAGTTTACCTTGAATGGTCTCTCATCCTTTCCTACCCCTCTCCTCACCCTCAACCCTATTCAACCCTTTTCAGTTGAAACTGCTGAGAACCCTTTGCCCATTGGGATCAAGGCCAATGTATCTCTGGCTCCACTCCAGAAGAATGAAGGCAGTGTTTCCATCCATTGGAATAGACTCCTGCCTGACAGAGAACCCTAGTAAATTCTTTTGCTGAAACAAAAGAGGAGGGAAGGGAGAAGACAAACACTTTCCTTCTGCTGCTGCATTTTTTTAATTGCCAAAGTCAAAAATAATATCTGATAAAGGGTTTCTCCCCTGTAAATTAATATGACATGAATATTTTCTCTCCATTTCATTAAATATGAAATCAGAATAGTTTTAATCTATGAAAAGCTCATTCGGACCATCTAGCTGAGCTCCTTTGTTTTACAGATGAAATATCTGAGGCCTAGGGAGAAGGTAGACAGAAAGGATGCCAACTCACCACCAAGAGCCATGCCAGGTCTTTGGTCTCCCTCCCCTAGGGGCCTGACCTCTCTACTGTCCTGGAGCTATGACACCTGCTAACCAATTCTTCTCAACTCATTAAATTCTCAGGAGATGCCCCAGCATCCAACACCTATTTCACTGCTACTTTCTACATTTGTTGGATTCATCCAGGGCATGCATCTCAAAATTAAAAACTCAAAGTTCCTTTAAAGGAGTGGTCTCCAAATTCTTTCACTATGCAGCAGAGTTTGGGGTGAGGGCTGCCAGCTGGGATGCCAAGTCTCCCCCCAAAGAGCTACCCACTAAGACAGGGCTCTCCAAACATTTTGGAGTTTGTTTCTGTCTCAGTTCTCACAATTAAGAAATACAATATGGTGTAGAGTTTAAGACAATACACTCTGGGGTCCCAAATGCTTGAATTCAAGTCCTGCCCGTCACCTACTAGCTGTGTAACTTTGGGCATATTATTTAGCCTCTCTATGCCCTAGTTTCCTCTTTTATAAAATGGGGACAATTATACTACTGCCTGCCTCTTGGGTTGTTTTGAGAATTAAATGAGTTAAGATATGTGAATCCCTAAGAACAGTGCTTGGCCATAAAAAGAGTTAAATATGTGATAATGAAAGAGGGGCAATGCACCCCAGCATTTTTAAAAATTAGGCATGTAACCTGTAGCCACAATTCCTCCCATTCTGTGTGTGTGTGTGTGTGTGTGTGTGTGTGTGTGTGTGTCTTGTCTATCTTTCTTCTCATCCATTTCTTGGTTCCTCCATCCCCAACCTCTTGACAGGCCTAATTAGAGGATTGTCATTATACTATAGGTGGGAGAATAACAGCTCTGTCATTTTCTTGTTGTCCTTTTTTACTGCAATGTTACTATTATTGTCGATCCATGGTGGATTTATTTGTTTACTTTCTTACTTATTTTTTGCAGTACTCTTTTTAATCCTCTTACCCACTTTGTGAAAGTTAGCCGACCTAAATCGATCACAGAAGCTGGCAAACTCTTTCTGTAAAGGGCCAGATAGTAAATATTTTCGGCTTTGCAGGCCATATGGTCTCTGTAGCAACTACTCTTCTTTGCATCTGTGCTGTGAACGCAGCCATAGACAAGGTGTAAATGAATAAGCATGGCTGCGTTCCAATAAAACTTTATTTACAAAAATAGATGGCCGGCTATAGTTTGCTACTTTTAATATACATCATCAAATCCTTAAGTCCACTTAGCCAGGCTCAGGCAAACTGCAATAGGGGTCAACATCCCAGAAGAAGGACCCTCAAAGGAAAAGGGAGTCATGATACACAAGCTTGCTGTGGGCAGATGGGTGGTGACGCCAGGGCTGACACCAAATGCCACTCATCCAGTGAAATCCAAACTATCTTCCAGTGCAGGTGCCCAAGGGCCTATACAAATTCCTAGAGAGAGGGAGCTCTCACATAAAATGAGCTTTTCCACTGAAGAATCAGAAACACTTGGGAACTAGAGAGCACACAGCAGTCCTGTTTGATGTCTGGAGTCCAAGGAGGCTTCCTTACTTCCACATGGTGACCGTTAGAGCATCATGGGCAGGAAATCAGAGTCCCCAAATAGGGGTGACATACATGATGATAGAAAGTGTGGCTACAGCCAGGTGAGGGGCTGAGAGCAGGGGAGTGTTTCAGAAGTACATGTGAGTCCCTCTTAGGTCCCCATGAATGAGACAGGCAGAGCCTGGTGGCACGGCTGTAGCAATTTCCCTGAGTCCCAGAGCACTGTTCTGTTTCTAGGATGGTGACCCCTATCCCTCAACTGTACCCAAATCCATTTGGCTTGGGGAAATGCAGGTGAAATCACAACAAAAAGGATTCAGGAAAGGCAGGAAGGAGGACCTGTAGGAAACAGGAGCAGTGGGCTATGCATCTCAGCGGGGTGCTAGCATCAAAATAGCTCTTGTGGGGCCATGCCTCCCTTTGTAAATGCACATGTCTCCTTCCCCATGGCCTTCTGGCACTGCTAGAGGTGTAGTAGACTGGAAACTCTTCACGCCAAAAGCCAGCAGGACAACCTCTCTTGGTGATTCTGAGCATTGTGAAAAAAATGGCCAGCTCCCAAAATGACATATAACAGACCCCGCGCCTGGGCATCATCTGGGACTCCTGTCTCTCTCTCACATGGTGCCAGGGCTGCCATTACAAAATACCACAGACTAGGTGGCTGAAACAATAGAAATTTTTTTTCTCACCGTTCTAGAGGCTGGAAGTCCAAGATCAGGGTGCCCCAAGGGTTGGTTTCTTCTGAGGCCTCTCTCCTTGGCTTGCAGATGGCTGTCTTCTCCTTCACACAGCCTTTCCTGAGTGTATCCGTGTCCTAATCTCCACTTCTTATAAAGACACCAGTCATACTGGATTAGGAGCCACCTCGATGACCTCACTTAACGTTAACCGCCTCTTTCGAGATCCTATCTCCAAATTCTAAGGTACCAGGGGTTAAGACTTCAACATACAAATGTGGGGGGGGCACAATTCAGACCGTAATACCCCACATCCAGTCGGTCAACATATCCTGGCTGTTCCAGCTTCACAGCATTTCTGGAATCCATCTATTCCTCTCACCATCAGGGTCCTGGTTCAAGCCCTAACTGACCCCCCACTGGTTCCACCAGATTTGCCTCCTGACAGCAAGCCTTGCCCCACATTCCACTCTCCACACAAGGCCAGCATAAGTCTGACCATGTCACCCCTCGGCTCAGCCCTCCTAGGGGATTCTCATCGTGCTCAGAACAAAAGCCCAAATCCTTACCAGTGACTGCAAGGTCTCTGATTTCCCATCTCTAACCCTGTTCCCCTGGCTTCCTTCATCCCAGCCACACTGATGTCCTCGCTATTTCACAAACATACCACTTCCGCTCAGGATCATTGCTCCTTTGGTTCCCTCTGCCTGGGGCGCCCTTGGAACATATCTTCTCAGCTCCTCCTCTCTCTTCCTTCTTGGTTCAGCTCAAACGCTTATCAGGAAGCCCTCCTCTGAGGACCCTCCCCAAAGTAACACTTCAACCCTCCCTATATCTATTCCTTGTTTTCCTTTCTCACGGCACTTATGACTGGCTAAGGTACATGCAGGTGTATGTGTACCTGCTTGCTCGTTGTCTGTCTCCCTACTAGAAATTAAGTTCCATGAGAGTGGGGACAGGGCCTTGTTTTGTGCCGTATGCTCAGATTCAGAGGAGATATTTATTGATGGAATAAATAAGCATTATTTAAAATGAGAACAGAAATCCAAGGAATTAAAAAGTGGGGAGAAGGCCAGCTCTCAGACAAAGGATGGTGGATTTTATGATTCATGAGCTTCCCAGAATTTTTTTAGCACTTATGGCTAGGGGATTATTTACAGCCTTACGTTACTACTCTAGTGCTGTGTAGTGTTTTAACCTAGGTCAAAGCAAAATTCCTTGAGAACATGGATCATAATTTCTACTTCTGTATATGTACCCTGTGCCTAATACCTAGCACGAGCTCAAGGGGAGCAACTGCCAAGTTCAGATAGCTACATCTGCCATGGATGCAGGAGGAGGGAGTGATGGCATCTCTCCCATGTCTCTGCTGACCTAACGCAACAGGAGAAACATGAAGACACTAGGAGGAGTCCTGTGACCCAGGTTCAAGTCTTGGGGTCACCACTTACTAGTTATATGAGCTTGAGCAAGTCCCATAATTTCTCTGAGTCTCAGTTTTCTCTTTTGTTAAAAATGATCATTACAATATTTACTTCAAAGGGTATTTTGTGGATTAAAGAGGAAACAGGTAAAGTGCCCAGCACATACTCAGCATAGGGCAAGCTCTCAATAAATGTCAATATGATTCCCCTGCTGAACCTCACGGGCTCCAGTAGACACCAAAACCTCCATTGGTAAAAAGAGACCCATTATGTTGCCAACAGAAGAGCCAAGTTCATGAAGAGACATGAGCAGGTGATAAGGGATATGCAGTTTTCTGGGTCAGGAGAACAGCTGATATATGAGACAGGGTATCCGATGCATCCAGGTGAATGATCCGGGGATCATGGCAGGCTCTGGTGTCGATGCTTTGTCAGAGGACACACACTATTCTCCCTGAAACCTCCTCAGGGAATATATTTGAAAGCCATAAAACTTTACACAGTTATTTAGGAAGAGTACCCCTTGGTTTCCTCTTATTTCTGGAGTCTTTCTTCACCATGTGCTAAGGACCCCCCATCTATGAGATCCAAAGGCCCCTTGCTTCTTGGGACTTTCTGAAATTTCTTTTGTTCTTAAGTTTCTGATCCCTTCCTGCCCCAGTATGTTCTCCCTCCACTAGCTTTACTTCTCCTTTCATAGCAGCTCGTGTGGTTACAATTACACCATATTTTCCTGCTAATTCCAGTGACCATCTCTCTGATGACAAGGGTTAGGTGAGAGACAGACAGGCAGGGAGGAGGCGGGAGGGGTCACTTCTCCTGTTAACAGTAACTTTGAGTTGCTGGTCCTCATGAAGGGGAAGGGAAGGGGAAGTGCAGAGGCAGCACCAAGCAGACCAAATTCACACTCTTCCCAGGGTATTTTGGGAGCTTTGGGCTACCAACAGCTCATACAAATGTGTGCTCCCTGAGAAGCAGCAACATGTCTCCATGGGCCCAGGTCCTCACTTATCCCCCACCTCCACCCTAGTCCTGGTCAGAGGGAACCAAAAGGACATATTAAAACAGAAAAGATGTGGGATGCCTGGGTGACTTAGTGGTTGAGCATCTGCCTTTGGCTCAGGTTGTGATCCCGAGGTCCTGGGATCGAGTCCTGTATTGGGTTCCCTGAGGGGAGCCTGCTTCTTGCTCTGCCCATGTCTCTGCCTCTCTCTGTGTGTCTCTCATGAATAAATAAATAAAATCTTTAAAAAAAAAAAAAAAAACAGAAAATGTGTGAGAAGGGGCTTTCTCACCAGAGCAACAATTTTTTAGCAACATTGGGCAACTGCCCTCAGTGCCTGAGCCTCCTGAGCTCAGATCCTTAGCAAAAAGCAGCTCAGTGGGAATGAATGGCTTACGCCCCTGCTTCTGAGAAGCATCTTTGGGATGAGGGTGTGGAAAAGAGGGTCCTGACAAATAAGACAGGAGAACTGGAAGACAGAATTCTCAATTTTTTCCCCTCAGGGTCACTTGTTAATTTTCTATTCTCCATTTCTTCTTCTCACCTATCACTGCCATTGACCCTGGCTTGACCCTGGGTCCTTACCATTGATCTGAATTGGAGGAGACCAGCAGAGCCATTGGAAAGACAAGGGAAACCACGGGGTGGGGGAGGGAGTAGACATGCATCCACTGACCATGGATGAGCCAGGGCAGGAATAGGCCATCAGGGAAGACCATCAGACCTTCGCTCTTTTCAGAGCCTTTCATAGCCATACTGGAGCCTGAATAAAAGAGAAAATCAACAATACTGATCCTGCTATCAGAAAGGGAGACAGAACATGAAAGACTCCTAACTCTGGGAAACGAATTAGGGGTGGTAGAAGGGGAGGTGGGCGGGGGGTGGGGGTGACTGGGTGATGGACACTGAGGTGGGCACTTGACGGGATGAGCACTGGGTGTTATTCTATATGTTGGCAAACTGAACACCAATAAAAAATAAATTTATAAAAAAAATACTGATCCTGCTAATTATAATTTTGACTATTTATCATTTTCTGTTGATAATGACTTTTTTGCATCAATTTTCACTTTTTAAAATATTGCATAAAAACACTGTATATATTCATTACTGAATGGCACCTCCTTAGGATTTGCTCTTGCCTTACCCTTGGTTAGATTTAGCCCAGCTGATGTGTTGTCAAGCCACTGGTCTCTTTAAGGAAAGAGAGGCTGGAGGCCCTAGAAATCAAGTCCATTTTTTTAAAATATGTAACTGCAATCCTACAAAAATATTTAGAAGAAAGAATGAAAGTCTCAACCACAAAAATGGCCCAAATTTTAGACACAATTCAGATCCTTTCTTTTTCTAACAAAGCCAGGGTACTTCACCTTACCAGCCACCAGGTGTCTCTGTAAACTCCCTGCCGGTCCCCACACAAGACACTCAAGATAACGTCATAAGTAAAATCTGCGGTTTTTAACCAGCTCTAAAGAGATGGCATACACCCAGAGAACAGTTTGAAATGCAACAGCTTCAAATATTAAATCTACAGAGACCCATCCATTTGTCCGGGATTGCTGGCTACTAGCTAAATGCTTATGATAATACAATCTATTAACAAGCTATGAAATAGATTGTTAGAATCAGTTTGTCCTAATCAATATCCTTTCTAGAAGGTCCCTGCATTATTCTTTCCTCATCCCTTAGCCAGATCAATGTCCAACAAAGCACAATTCTGCAAGACCATAACAGTATTTCAGGAGGGTCTCAGAGAAATCAACTCTTCACCCAGGCTTTCAGGACTAGCCCACTCACTCCTCTTGGGCAGGGGATTTTGAAAACAGCATTCAAACCATTTGCTTTTGTTTAAAAAAAAAAAATGAGTAAATGCATAGAGTTCTATGGTCAGGGCAGCCCGGGTGGCTCAGTGGTTTGGTGCTGCCGTCAGCCCAGGGCCTGATCCTGGAGACCCAGGATGGAGTCCCATGTCGGGCTCCCTGCATGGAGCCTGCTTCTCCCTCTGCCTGTGTCTCTGCCTCTCTCTCTCTCTCTCTCTCTCTCTCTCTCTCTGTGTCTCTCATGAATAAATAAATGAAATCTTAAAAAAAAAAAAAAAGAGTTCTATGGTCAATGTCCAGTAAACAGAATGGAAGAAAAGTTGTAGCATTCTTGAAAAAGTAAGTTTACCTATGCACGTTATTTTCCACCCTGCTGTCCAAAAGAAATGTAAACAGTCCAGTGAATAGACTATTTCCCCTGACCTTGTTTTTTTCTGAGGTCATTCTGCAAATTAGTCCTTCTTCATTCCACATCTGAGAGGGGCCGGGTAAATGGCTGTTGCGGAAAACCTCTGTGATGATGCTCTTTGAGTTTTTCCAGCTTGCCCAAGACAGCATCCATTCTTCATTCTTAAATTACTACTACGAACCATGGCAGGAACAGTGGCTAATATTTATGGAGTGCTCACTACATGCTTGTCAGCACAATAAGAGAAACTGACAAATACTATGTCCTTGAAAGGTCATTGCTCTGCGCTCCCGTGACAGTCAAGCTCACCTGGTTTTCTCCCAGCTTTCTGGGCAACTTCTTCTCATCTAACCCCTTCTTCAATGTGGGATTTCTCAGATTCAGTCCCAGGCCCTCTACTCTT